TAACCACCCAGGCAACGAGATTGTGGAGTAGCCTTGAAGGGAGAAGCTGGGACAAACTTTCCCATGTTCTTTTATTAATGAATCTTCCTTAATTTAAGATACTGTATCACTGACAAGAAAGGTCCCTTCCATATTCAGTGAAAGTTTAAACAGACTTTGCTTTCCTTTACTCTTCTGTACTTCTTTTGCAGAAAGACTTGTGGCAGACACAGAGGAGCTTCCTGCCAGTTAGCTGAATTGACAAATTAGTTAAGTTCCCCTTGTTCTTGATCCCAAGAGCATTTACAGGTTCGACCGACAAAGCATATCGGCAGACATTTGTGGTGGGATTAGGATAGTGCAACACAAACAATGTAGATGAACTCAAGCGGAAAAAAAAATAAAATCATTATATTGCCACCAGTGACAAAGGCAGCTGAAGAAAAGTTACAGGCAGAAGCCTGAGACACAACAGGGCTCCACATAGTTGAGCCTGGGGAAAACTCTCTAAAAGCTTGTTGCTACATCAAGCATTCGGAGACAAACACCACGCTGGAAAAAAAAAAAAAAATCCTACTTAATGAAACAACAAAATATTCTATTAACTTCCATTCTGAAATAAGAATGAAAAGAACTGCATTTCAGCAACAAAGCTGTAACCTTCTGGCTCTAATGACGAGTATGTTATTGGATGGATCTATTAAGAAATACACACAGCAAGAGGTGCTGCCCAACTCTTGACCTCTTTTTTTTCCCCATCACATAGACCCACAACTTGTACTTTTCTGATTTCAGGTCTACTTTGATTTGAAAGGAATGTTTTTGACCCTTGAAGGAAGCGTTTAGCACCTTCGAACTCCACGTTACCACCCGTTGGTCTCTTACTGTAGTATTCATCACCTGAATGTTTGCAGATATTTATGCCAACAAAGAAGCCACCATATTGAAATTTTTTAAATAAGAATGATGAGTAACGGATTATTCTTAGAAATGAAACAAAACAGGAATGTTTGTTCACCAGTACAACAGTTTGCTGGATAGTATTTGACTGATGGAAGTCCTGCATGCTATAGCTCAAGTACCTGTATATGTTACCTTTTAACGCTGGAACTGGAGACAGCCACAACTAGGAAGCAGACAAAAGAAACCTAAGCAGTAAATTCTTGTGTCTTATTTTATAGCCAAATAAATGTATCACATATAGATAGAAGTAAACACATGTACTACTCACATAATATGCAAACTACTACTTACAGTGTAATTTTCTTGAAACAGTTCTGCTGTTTCACATCACAGCTTAGTGTTCTTCTAGTAATTTACACAGTGTTTAACATTATTTTGACTGAGAAACACCATCTAATCTAATACACTGAATTACATTAATGTTGCTTAATTTTATTTGGGCAAATTTCTTTCCTCATCCCGAGGTGAATAAATTGCACAATTTTTCATAATCTATGCAGTATAAACTAGATCTTAACACAATTCTGATTTAATTTCCTTTTTTTTCCTCTAGTTATTTTATCTATATAGGAAATTTCTTCCTGTTTTGCTATGATAAAGGAATAATGCATCTTTGCATTCGCATAAAAATAGAGATAGGTATCTCCAAAATAAAATTCAGAAAAAATTTGCAGATAGATTATAACAAGAGGTCACAGAAGAAAGAAGAACAACCTCTAAGAACAGCACGGTGTAACCAAAGAGGGACTAAACTCCTCCAACTTTTTCGTAGTTATTCTGGGAGGGGTTAGGTGGAAAGGTTGCTGAAATGCTCTCAGGTGCCTCAGGTCTTCATTTGGAAAGCATCATATACTAGAAACTGAGTACTAGAACTGAGGAATGCACTGCATGCTAAGTTTTAATTTTAAAAAAAGCACGATGGTTATTTGACTAAACTCCATAGTTTGTCATCAGCTTTTTCTTCATGTTTTTAAATAATGTTCTTGTTACCACATCATTACCATTTTATACTCATCAACAAAATCTGACATACAGTGAAAAGCATGCTTCAGTAGTTGTCATCTAGCCTTACTAGACTCTATGTCCCTAATGAAAAGCACATGTCCTAAACACTTAGAAAATAAGTTATAAGTCCCATATCACTCCAAGCATAAGAATAATTTTTCTCTAATTAAGAGTCACCAGTGATGTGCCAGACAAACAAACTGTCCCAAAGGAAGTGTGGAATGCTCTTAAATAGTGAAAACAAAAGAATAAAGCATTTCTTGTACCTCACCAATCACTTTAAATGTGAGGTACACAGTGCTGGAGAAAGAAGTTCATTTTAATTCCTTACAGAGTTCATTAAGTAGATAAAAATCTAAATAGCATATATGTGTTTGCCTATACACACACTACAAAAAAAACCCAGGATGTCACCCTTGAAATGATCTAAAACTGCTCACATTCTTAATGTGATCTGGAATCTTAATAAACTGTGCTTAAGGATAAAATGAAATTTTCCTAGAGAAGACCACTCATCAATATCCCCACCACCAGCATGATTTTTCTCTTGTTTAATAATAAACAGGCAGTGCTATCTTCCTAAACAGAAGAACAGACATGGCCATTGTTTTAAAATATTAATATATGTTTAACAAATCTGGATGTTTATTTGCAAAGAATTATCATGTTTCATATCAATAGTTCTTTCTTTGTTTATAAAGAAAAAATAATTTTGTAGAGCACAGAGACTTTAGCATGCATGCATCATCCCAATTGACGCAAGATTTTCAATATGTATGATCAAACACATACTTGTTATAACATAAGGCAAATCTATGACCTAGTTCTAGAAACGGGTTATCTTCAGGTTAAAATTTTCTGTTCTTCTTTTAAACAGGTTTAAAAGCACCACCTGCTCTTTATGATGCCACCAGCAAATTTTCTGTAATAAAAAAAAAAAAAAGAAAAAAAATCCCTAAGTGATGGAAAAGAACAGAAAAAAAAACCAGAAGAAATTTTAAGTCATGACTACTCTTAAAAGAGCACAATCCAAATGCCAGCTAGCTTTTAACAAAAGGTAATCAGGTTCAAATTAGTCTTACCCCCTCCTCGGCCTCCATATTGTGCAACGAAAAAGGAGTTAAAGAGATTGTCACAAGGAAAGGCAATGTGGGGCACAAATAAGAAGAACGAAGAGAAAAATTATTTTTTTATTACTAATACTTCTTAAAAATCCAAAATAAGATACAAGTTTCAGACACTGAAGGGAAAGAACCCTTTTTCTCTCTAGTAACATAAAGAAAAGGATTTACTCTTGCTAAATAATCTTCAGAAAGGTATGTGTACATTGGCAGAGTAAACAATTTTTTCCTGTAAAGCCATCAAACCAGAAATTTTCAAGAAAGTCTTTGTTCCAAAAACCAAAGGAAGGTCTTTATCAGTGATCTACAGTAAAACTGATAGCTTGTACTGTCTGCCAATTGATTTAGCAATCTGTTATGATCATGAAGTTGCAAAATAAAAATTATTTCTTCTTGCTTCAAGTGAAAATTTCAAGCATTTAATTAAACATTTTAAAAATTAAACTTCGGCATTAAGTAGGCATTATCAGAAGTATGGAATTATTTCTGCATATCCTGTGACTATATCTGAAAGTCTTTCTCTGATCCGGAAAAAAAAAAAAAATTGAAATCTTTATCTCTGTACAATTAATAAACTTCAGGTCCCTATGGCAAATGAAGGTACTCTTTTTTATTTTCCATTTGACACGCAAGCTTGATTATCCAATCTCCTTCTCCAACACCTGTTCAGTCTTCTATTTTCACGTATCTTCCCTCAATACAACCACCAAAAATATGACACTTTGTAGACATGCATAAAAGTGTTATTTTTAAAATATATTTTAATGCGGTAGAAATTAGATCAGCTTCCCTTTATATGCATATTTAGGTTTTCAAGTTAGAAGAAGTTCCTAAAAAAATATTCCTATACAGAAAATATCTCAAGGGACAGCTGAAATGTGGTCTACTGACTACCAAACAAAACAAGAATATGACCTCAGCAACTATATCATTACACGACAGACATCAATACATAGTTATCTAAATCTAAAATGAAATATTCTGGTGTTCTTCTCTATCACATCATGTTTTTGTTAAGAAGAATAAAATCTGCAACTGTGATGGTAAAATTCCAGTAAATTTTCATTATACTGTCGGTCACATGATTCTCTATTCCTACCACTGTCAGTTGTATTTCTGTAGCAAATTTTCAACATTTAAAGTCTTCCTGAAAAGTTAGTTTAAGAATTTAAGTACTGGACATTTTCAGGGGAGGAAACAGGACAAGTTAGGAAAAACAAACAGATCAGAAAAGTGCACAGGAAGAAGCAATTAGCAAATTGCAGGAATTCGTTCTCAACCCCATTAAAAAAATAGTTCTGTCTTGTCTACATAAATCCAATCATCTCTCCTGCAAATGCCTTGAAAGCCCCTTCACCAGTTTTTAATCATGGTCTTCCTCTTTCTACCACTATGCTTATTCTTCAACTCCAGCCTCCCAGCAACTTCTCTCCCTCAAGTTTTCTCTGCCTTTCTTGTGATAAACCCTCCCCCTTTCCTTACTGAAAGAAATCTAAGTTATATGACAAAGTTTTAAAGTAGCACCACCTGCACAGTCCTCTGACTTCCTTCCAGCAACATGAAGGCTCTGAAACTAGAGATGGAACCTGCTGAAGAAAGTTAAGCTCGGTTTGGCATCGCAAGTTCTCCCATTTTTAGACAATAGCTTAAATTGGCTACTGCTTAAAAAGAAAGTATGGAGAAGCTGAGCAAATGGTCAAAAAAAAAAAAAGTCTGTCTGTTATGGGAGAAAGGAGAATAATTTACATAAGATTCATGCTGTATCCATCTCCTAGCTGATAAATTAAGATGTTGCCATGTAATTTTTCTGAAGACAAAAAAAAAAAGCATAGACAACACTTGGATAAAGTATCTTGGCATAACCCAGTATGAAATAATTTGATATTTGTGCAGCACTCAAATACATGCAGTATGGTTAATATGCTACTGTACCTCATTTTGAAGTTCATCGCCACTTTTGGTAGAAGCAAGCATCTCGTACAAAGTACAGCAGAGGTCTTCTGTTGTTGGCCCTCCCGGGGTACCCCCTTGGGATTCATTCAGATACTTTCCAACTTCACACCATAAAAAAGAATCGTCTATTTTTTCCGAACACTTGAGATCAGATTTCTCATCACAGTAATTCTGTAAGTGATTCAGCTGGTTATTCAGAAATTTGTTATAATCTAAGCTTATAATTTTCTGTGCATCGGCCTCACCATTCACAGGCAGCTCCTCAGAGTGATCCAAGCCATGCATGTCAAATGAAAACACTATATTTTTACCGAAGAACACTCTGTTATCACCATTTTTCTCTTCAGCCATCTGTATGAGGGCTGTAAGCTGTTCTTCAGTGAAGTGAGAAGCAATCCGATATGTGGCATTACAAGCTGCAGTAGCAGATGATGACGGAAATGGCCCAAACATCTGCTTGATCGCTTTTGTCTCATCATGGCCAACACATTCTTTCCTGTGAAACGTCTTAAAAAGAAAAACAGCTCCACTTTCAATTGCTTCTTGTCCATTTTCAGCTCCAACTGTTAACAAAACCAAAATCAAATGTAACTGTATACACTTCAAACTAATTTTCTTTCATTGCCTATAACATAACTGTATTCAATTTCTCGCTGCAAGTCTCATCAGCAGAGATATGAAATGAAGATCATAACAACAAGTAGCAATTGTTGCAAGGTACTGAATTATAAAAGCTATATGATCATAAAGCATCCATCTTTATTATCCTTCTACTTACTAGAAATTCATATTCAGGATTACCAATGCTTTCCTATCTGTTCAAGAAAAGAGGAGAAATTTGCCTGAGGTCTTAAACTCACCATAGTACATTTATGAGCGTTTTAAAAGTTTACAAATTTCCACTTTGTATGAATGTTTATTCACTGCCTGAATATTCACTGAATCTGAATATTCATAACAGACTAAACATACAGAAATCAGATGGGAATTACTACATTCTTGTAGTAATTCCCAGCTGAATTACTACAGAATGTATGTTAGTTAGAAAAATTGCGCCACGAAATTAAAGCAAATAAATGCATGAATTTAGATTTAGAGTTACAAAACATATTATGCAAATAAACATTAAAGAAAAACATGAATTTACGTCTTACGCAAATATCTGCAAAGGAACTCAAGGAAAACATAAGCAAAACCACCATCTGATGAATCAAAATGTCACTACTAAACAAGATTTTAAAAGTCATCAAGCATAAAATAAACAAAACCAGACAGTATACTGGGGGTTTTTGTTGGTTTTATATGAAGACTACATGAAGAATTATTTTTTAAGTTTAAAAAATAGAATCTAAAAAGTTGGGTAGATTACGCCAACATTTTCAGTAGAAATCGAATTTCTTACAAGATTGCAAAATTTTTAAAACATCATAAAAAATTTCTGTCGAGATTTACAAGTTGCTATTGTCAAAATGTCTTTATCTGGTCAATTCTTTAGTTATATCAAGAGTGCCCGGCACAGTTCCAGCAGAGAACAGTATGGTTTAACTGAGAACACTGGTAATTAAACCCCGGTATTGCTAATTCAAAAGAACAAGAAAGACATATAAATATATCTCAAAGGGAAAAGGTGGTTTGGCCTCCCTCTCAGCATTAGCTATACAGGAATCACAAAAAGAAAACCCCAGCATCTGAAAACTTACAGATCTAAGTCTGGCTGTATGAACCTCACTCTTATATTCCTAACATACGAATACATATCATTATTTAAAGTTACTTGTGTCAGAACAGAAGTACGTGTTATTAAAGTAAAAGAGCAATTGTACCGAAGGATTTGAGAATAGGTTTGCTGTGTGCTAATGCTCCTTTATTATCAACATCTCCTATTCATGGAAGCATCTTTTGAGAAAATCCTACCTCTATCCTTCAAATATAATGAGCCAGTCAAGATGGCAAGAAATGCACTACTTGAAGCTACTCTTTCCTTTTTGTTTTTAAGCCAAATAGAGCATTTCAGTAAGTGACATTTTCCCTGTAAAGTAAATCAATATTACAGTATCTGCTGCCTAGTCTGAGAATTCATTTCCTTGAAATTAAGCTAAAAAAGGCATACAAGCAATTCCCTTTCCATACTACACATTTCTGATGATGATGGTTGGAACATTACCATCGGTTCAGTTTGTGCTTCAGTCACTCTAATCCATTCTGGTTTGTGTTTCCATAACATTACACATCCTTATTCAGAAGCATCAAAGCTGATGGTTTCTTTCTAACTTATTCTAACTAAATGATCATGAGTTTGTTTTCATTTGTTTTGTCCTCTCCACTGTATCAAATAAAAACGTACCATTATTACTTCCAAGTCTTTCTTCCACCACATTGGGCCTGCTATTAAAGGCAGGGAGAAGAAAAGTTTTTGCAGCCATCTTTGGCAAAAAGTGGAAATTAAAGAAAATTTTTTTAAAAAAATAAATCACACAGCTAATACTAAATTCTGTCATTAATACAGAAAACAAATCTGTCAAATTATTTTCATAGATAACATTTACAGCTAAGAACAGCAAATACTTAATTTGCTTATAACCTTTTTTTCCCATCACAAGACATTACTTCCTACTTGCTAAACCACACATGGTCTTACTTTTTATACTGCAAACTTCATAGTCATTATATATTTGTCAGCCCTAACTTAGGCAACATTCTATTCCAGTATCTCTTAAGACTAAACTATACCCAGAGGATATTTAAAATAACTATGTAGACCTTCTCAATCAATACAGATCAGTTATCAATACAGACTGCACCTTCTCCGTATTAACCTTAGGCACTGGCAGTTGATGCAAACTTACTCCCCATCTTGCACGACTTTCCCCCAAACCTTGCTTATCTCAAGCACCAGCTGTATTCTGTGCACTGAAGCAGAGGTACCTGAGTCGGGGCAGAGAGGTGGCCCTTCCCAGAGGTCTCTCTCTCAGAAAGACAGGCAGCCACGTGCTTAACTTCTGGCCTGAAGAGGTTAAAGTCTACTAACAGCACAAGCTCTACCACTTGTATTAGAAAAAAAGGATTAAGAAAAAAAAAAAGGATGAAACTTGTAAAAATGACAGCTATGTCACTAACACGGAAGGAATGAACCACCAAGCAAAGTTTAAAACGTCTATCTTCAGATGAGTTTAAAACATTTTTGTCAGTGATTTGAGAAATACTTGGGATTGTTCTTCTGATGACTCACTACAGCAATAGCCATTACAACCAGTAAGAGCTTTAACAGACATCTTCTGTGCAACCGTACAGCACAAGTGATTACTACATGCTGGACACAAATAACTTGTCCAGCCTTTTCTGAAAGCCTGTGATTAGATACTTGTTTCTTTCTCAATTTGCTAGTTATTTCCAAAAGAACTGTCATGAAACAGAAACACAAGCGAAGCAGGTTAACATTTGTATTGTAATAAAAAACCCCTCTATTTATACATACTAACTCTATCAGTCTTTTTACTTAGAGTTCTAGTCAAGATAACGGAAACAATCAGAAAAGGAGAAAATATACCTATTAGATAGAAATGAAAAATTCTTAAATATGTGACAGTTAGAGCTTGAGCCACTTGCTCAGTTTACAAGCAGATGAAGTTAAATTCTGCTAACAGCACAAGCTGACTTAATTTTAGTCTGTTAATCAAAAACTAAGTTTACAATCAAAACTAAGTTTTCACATTTTCTTCGCCATAATGCATTTTCAGTTTTAAAAACTTAATCACAGATGAGTGAAATTTATTATTTCTCTCCTCAACACCAAACACTTCAAGCACAAACATATTTTACATTTTTATCTGCCTATGTAGCAGTCCAATTTTTCATGACACACATCACATGGAATTAAAACCAATAATATCAATATTGTTCTTTTCTAAGGGTATTGCCATTCCAAAAAAAGCTGTTGCTTTTGCTTAGTAAAGGTCCATCACAAATCATCCCGCACACTATACAACAATACTATCAAAAAGCAAGAATATCCACATAACAACAGAATGATATTTTAAAACAAAACAGAAAACCAAACTATGCATATACATATCAGATTAACTGGAGTTTCAAAGATAGTTGAAGTCAAGGTAGCACTAAAATCGTGCCAATATGCAAAGTATGCAAGCAGAAAGCAGCTTGGAAAAAAAGCCAACCCATCAAAACAATCTATTATTAGACTTACTAGAGAATGAAAACGTACCTATTTGTTTTGCAGCTTGTAGTATAGTTTTTAAGTCACTATTTACAGTCTGGTGTTCTTTTTTGTCCAAATTGTCATCGACAAACTTTATTATCTTCTTCCAGGTAAGATCAGACTTCAGCAACTGTTCATGTAGTTTTGATCTTTTAGTCTGAAAATGCAAAATATTTGGGTTTTTTTTATTTATTTCAGATTAGTATATGGAGATTCCTTTGAAATAAAACAGCAAAAAAAAACCCATTTTTAAAAAGGGGAACAAGGAGAAC